ATATATATATATATATATATATATATATATATATTATGTTATTATTACACAATATGATCCTTGTTGTTTTCTTATAATGAAAGACAACCATCAAAATCTCTCTTATTTTCCTTTTTTGAGCTCGTGGATATGATTTGTCTAATATCTTAAAACTGACAATTGAAAGTTAATTTCTGCTGGCCGGATGTGAATGTGAGTAAATATTATTTTAATATTATGAAAAATTGATTTTGAATGCACTAAATCAAGTCTCTGTGTCAGGATATAGGTCTTACAACTACTAAATAAAGAAGTTTGATTTATTTTCTGTTAATCTTTACATGATATATAATTTAGTGTCATTAATTTATTTTTGTAAATAATTTTTGTTAACCTATGTCAAGTAGATATTTTTTAGTTTGGGTCGTGGACAGCTGAAGGTAATCAAATAACTTCTTTTTGCAAAGACTGGCTCCAATATGTACTGAAAAGTACCAAGTTATATGGGTGAAGACTAACGACATACAGGAATTAATGGATAATTAATTGCCATCGTTACTGGGCCGTAAAAGATGATCTTGGATTATTGCATAGGAGAAAAATCCTCACACATATATTCAGATTTTAATTAGTATTCTCAATTTGGTGTCATCGATGGATGCAGTTCACCTATCATTATACAACCTTTACCATCCTTTCCTTACACATAATGATATGTACAATGACTACATTTGAAACTTAGGTTCTCTAGTTCGATAAGCAACCTAAAGAAAAGAAACACCTAACATGGGAGGCTCATTTAATGGAGCTGGAGTATCAATAATCTCAGCAACAATATCGGTGTTAAACTTGATCTCTCTAACCACACTTCCAACTACCCAATAATAAACCCTAACCAAATCCAAAATCTCGTAGTAGTACATTTCAAAACAGGTAACACTTAATGCACAGTTAGTATTGAGCTAGGTATTATAAATAGTGGGAGTAAGGGTCAAGTGTTACTCAAGCCTTCATCATTTCTCTTTTCAGCTTTGATTAGTGTGGCCTAGTTGTTTTTCTCAATGAGAAAATCTTCCACTTTGCAATGCACACTTTTGTGCATTTGGGTGCTGCTTGCTAGCTTCAGTCATGCTCCTTTTGTTTCGGCCACAACTGAAACTTCAGGTTTGTGGCTCATGCAAATATTATTCACGTATAGTTTGTTAGGCTTTTATATACTTTCGATATGATGTTTCTTTTTGTGTCGATAGTTAATGAAATTTTATTCATTTTTATATTTGCATTTGACAGAACAGTATAATTCTTGTAAGAGGCTAAAAGTACGTCATTTCTAAAGACTAAAAAATTATTAAATTAAGGAAAATGTTAATTATACTCCTAACTCTATCTTGTTATACTATTTTTCTACTTGAAAGTTATTAAATGAGATGGTTTTATTATGATTATTATTATTATTAAATGAGATCAATGTAAGATATACAAAATTTGTGATTTTAAATAAATTTTAAAATTTTAACCCATGATAAAAAATATTAAAAAGAAAGTATTAAATAGAGCGTGGTTAATATTTATTTTAATATAGGATAATTTCAAAATGTTTCCTAAGAGCAAAAGTATATATAATTAGTAATTTTGCTACTTAATATGTGTATACCTAATGGTAGTAGTACCTACGTATAATTCATATATACTTGACATGAATATACTTAGAAATGAAAACTATTAATGAGTAGTGTATGTATGTGATATGTCGGTAGCCTATGTTCGAAGGAAAAAATGGAACCTTCACAAACACACATGAATAATTCAGTCAAAGAATGGTGCATTTAATAATTCAGTCAAAGATACCGTCCCTCCATGGTCAACTAGTTATGGTCATTTTGCAATAGTGGTATTATTATATAGCTATTATGATTGGCCATGAATTTTATTTATTTTTGCTTGTTGATTCAGTGTTTCTAAACTTTCTCTAATCACTAATATGCATGTGTGTATGCACTGGCCACATCATTATAATATATATATATATATATATATATATATATAT